AGAACAAGGTTTTAAATTTCAATGAAGTGTAACTTACCAAATTTTCTTTAATGGATGGTGTTTTAGTGTCATTTCCTAAAGGCTTTGCTTAAATTTAACAAGAATTTATCCTAAGCTTTTTTTCTATACTTTTTCTAATTTTATGTTTTATATTTAGGTTTATGATTCATTTTGAATTCATTTTTCAATGAATTCAGTGAGATGTAGATATATTGCATTATTTCAGAGCCGTTGTGGAAACAAGTATGCCTTTGCACTTTTGTCGAAATTTAATTGATCATTTTTGTGTGGGTCTATTTTTGGATGCTCCATTTTATTCCACTGGCCTTTGTGTCTACACTTTCATCAATATTGTAGTGTCCTGATTGCTGTAGAATTATAATACATCTTAAAATCAGGTGGTATGAGTCCTTTAACTTCATTCTTTGTTTACAAAACTTTTTGCCATTTGTGTACATTTTAGAATGAGTTTGTTAATTTCTACAAAATTTATTTTGGAATTTTGATTAAGATTGTGTTAAATCTATAGATAAATTTAAGAAGATTGACTCTTATTTATTTATTTTGAGATGGAATCTTGCTCTGTTGCCAGGCTGGAGTGCAGTGGTGTGATCTTGGCACACTGCAATTTCCACCTCCTGGGTTCAAGTGATTCTTGTGCCTCAGCCTCTGAAGTAGCTGTAGTTATAGGCACGCTGTACCACACCCAGCTAATTTTTGTACTTTTAGTAGAGATGGGGTTTTACCATGTTGGCCAGGATGGTCTTGATCTCCTGAACTGTGATCCGCCTGCCTCAGCCTCCCAAAGTGCTGGGATTACAGGCATGAGCCCCTGCGCCCTGCCAAAGAAGGCTGACCTTTTAACAGTAAAGTCATTCATTCAGTGAACATAGTATACCTTTCCATTTATTGGTTCTTGGACTTATTCCATCAGTGTTTTGTAGTTTTGGGCAGAAAACTAAAAAACACGACTATGTTTTTTTAGATATTTAACCAAGTATTTCTTGTTTCTAGAACTATTATGAATAGCAACGTTTTTTATTTAGTTTTTAGTTGTTCATTGATAGTACAGAGAAATACAATGAATATTTGTGTGTTGAACTTCTATTCTGTAAACTTGTTAACTTTTTAGTTCAGTAGATTCTTTGAGTTTTAATATGTAGACAATAATGTTGCATATGAATAGAAGCAGTTTTATTTTTTATGTTTTGCTTTTCCATCTCTATGTGTTTTATTTACTTTTCTCACCGTGTTACATTGACTTGAACTTCTAGTATGATGGCGAATAGAGGCAGTGATAGAAATAAAAATAGAGGCAGTGATCTTAGGGGAAAAGCATTTAGTTTTGCACCACTAACTATGATGTTAGCTGTATGCTTTTTGTAGATGCTCTTTTTCAGGTTAAGACAGCTTTTTTCTATTCCTATTTTGGTAAGTGTTTTGAACACAGGAGGATGTTGAATTTTGTCAAATGTCTCCCCTGTATCTATTGATATAATCATATGTTCTTTTCCCCTTAGTCAGTTAATATGGGGGATTAAATTGATTGATTTTGGAATATTGAAATGGCTTTGCATTTCTCCACCTTGTTGTGGTGTATCATCCTTTTCATATTGTTCATTTAACTTGCTAATATTTGATAAGAAATTGTGTGCCTTTGTTTATGATGAATATCGGTCTGGAGTTTTATTTTCTTATACTATTTTGGTATCAGGTTTGTGTTAGTTTCAGAAAATGAGTTAGGAAGCATTTCTCCCTTTTGAATTTTTTGGCATAAACTGTGTAGATATTTTCCTTCAGTATTTGGTAGAATTTTCCAGTGAAACCATCTGGACCTGGAATTTTCTTTGTTGGAAATTTTTAGCTAAGAATTCTGTTTTTTTAAAAGAACATGGAACTATTCAGGTTATGTATTTTTTCTTGAGTGACTCTTGATAGTGTCTTTTGAAAATTTATCTATTTTATTTAAAGTTGTTGAATTTACCGGCAGAGTTATTAACAGTATTTCCTTATGACCCTTCTAGTATCTGTAGGGTCTGTAGGAATATCACCTCTTTCATTACTAAGCTTGGCAAGTTGTGTCCTTTCTCTCTCATCCTTTCTTTCTCTCCCTCCCTCCCTTCCTCCCTCTCCAAAACACCACTTCTTCCATACTCCCTCTTTTGGTCAGCCTGGATAGAAGTTTATCAATTATCTTGATCTTTCCAAAGAACCAGTTTTTGGTTTCATTGATTTTCTTACCTTGATACATTTCATTGATTTTCTTATCTTGATATATTTCCATATTTGATTTCATGTATTTTTATTCTTATCTTTATTATTTTCTTCCCTGTGCTTGCTTTTTGTATAGTTTGCTCTTATTTTTCTAGTTTCTTAAGGTGAAATCTTAGATTATTTACTTGAGAGCATTATAGCATTTAGACAATGTAACAGTATACAATTTCCTCTAAGCATTCCTTTACCTGAATCCACAAAAATCAATTTTACTTTCACTTTCATTTACTTCAAAATATTTTATTATTTCCTTTGAGATGTCCTTTTTGACTCATGGGTTATTTAGAAGCATGTTTTAAGTTTCCAAAATTTGAAAATTTTCCAGATATCTGTTACTGATTTCCATATGGTCAGAGAACATACTTTTAATGATTTGAACCCTTTTAAATGTGTTGAAATTCATTTCAAGGCCCAGTATATGATCTGTCCTGGTGAATGATCCAAATGCACTTAAAACAAATATATATATTTTGCAGTTGTTATTTGGAGTTTTTTACAGATGTCATTTGGTCAAATTGTTTAATAGTGTTTGAGTCTTCTATAGCTTTGCCATTTTCTACTTGTTCTATTGATTATTGAAAGAGGAGCATTGAAAGTCTCCAACTGTAACTGAAGATTTGCCTACCTTTCCTTTCTGCTTGATCTGCTTTTGCTTCACGTATTCTGAAGCTTGATTTGAGATATATGTGTATTTAGAATATTTATATATTTTTGGTGAATTGACCATTTATAACTACATAATTTCCTCTTTATCATGGGTAATTCTTCTTGTTCCAAAGTCTACTTTTTCTACTGTTAATATAATATGCCAGCTTCCTTTTGACTGACATGTGTATACTATATCTTTCCTCACTCTTTTACTTTTAACCTATCTATATCATTAGGTTTAATGTGAGCTTCTTGTAAATAGCATATAGGTGGGCCTTTACAACATTCAAACTGGATTGACAGTTCTTTCAGCATTAAAAAAAATATTGAGATATTGTTCCAGTCTCTTCTGGTTTACATGGTGTCTGATGAGAAATCTAAAGTCATCCAAATCATTTTTCACTCTATGTAATGTGTTGATTTTCTAGGGTGCCTTTCAAGATTTTTTCCTTCATATTTTATTTTCATCAGTCTGATCACTTTTTTCCCCCACTGGTCACCCCTTTCCTGTTCCTCTGGCAGCAATTGAGGCAGGAGTTTCTCCTGCAGCTTTTCCAGTCCACAGCCGTTGCGCAGTTTCCAAAGCTGCTCTTTCCTGGAGTATAAGCCGGGAGATGCTCACTGCCATATTAACTATCCCTTGAGTTTTGATTTCTCTCTTCAATTTGCCTGATATAATTTATTTTTCAGAGTCCTCATATGTTTGCATCGTGATTCTGTCCAGGGTTGCTAGTTATGATGAGTGGGAGACATAGGGTGGAGTGTGCTTGCTTGGCCAGAACTAGCAGCTGGAAGAGTGACTTTCAGTGAACCTGAAAAGAAGGAATGTAAACCTCCATGGCTTAGAGTTGAGGGAATATGTAAAATGGTAAGACAAGGGCCTAATCCCCAACCCCTGGTCAGGAATTGGGAAAGGAGACCTATTAATTTGACTAGAGATGCTTTTAGGGTCTGTGAATGCATACAGGGTGCTGTAAGTGGCTAGTACCTTTCAGCCAAGAACTAGAGCCTGAAAATGTCTGTCTCTCTGACTCACCACTCCCCTATCTTTGGGTACCTGATAAACAACGTTATATGTGAAGAATTCACTGCAGTGAATATCAGAGTATAAACAAAAGGGTTTGGAATTGAGATGATGCATTTTGTTTAATATAAAGTGGAAAAAATAGAAGGTAAAAGACAAGATGATTGTAAATGTGTTTCATGTTTTCTGTGATTGTAACTGGATGAATAATAAGCAATAAATGGACAGAGTTGTCTAAAAATTAAATTGGTCATGTTGGGGGAGTGAAGGAAATGAGGTTGTGAGTGTCTTTTTGTTTTATTTTTCAAAAATTTCCTTAATGTGGCTGCTATGGTTTGAATGTCCACTCTAAAAGTCATGTTGAAAGTTAATCCCCAATGTGGTAGCATTGAGAGGTGGAGTCTTTAAAAGGTAATTGGGTCACCAGAGTCCATATGAATTAACGGATTAATGAGTGAATGAATTACTGTGTTATCATGGGAGTGGGACTGGTGGTTTTATGAAAAGAAGAAAGACCCCAGCGAACACAGTTAGTCCCCTCATCATGTGATTCCCCGTGCCACCTCAGGACTGTAGAGACCCCACCAGTAAGAAGGCCCTCATCAGACGTCCCCTTGACCTTGAACTCTTCAGCCTCAATAGAAAATGCAGTAAGAAACGGCTCTATGAGCTTATCAAATGTAATATAACATGTAAGAATAATTCCTGGCCTATTGCCTGATAGTCATATTTTTCCCCATTCTATTTCTGTCACTTGTTTGGGAAGGTTTTCCTGATTCCCACCTCTCACCCCAACCATCCCTGTTGCATATTCCTATATCACTGTATTGATGACACTTTAATGTACTGTAAAGGACAGTACTGGTGACAACTTTACAGTTAATGCTTTGATTTTCTGTCTTCTCTGGTAGACATGGGCTTTTGCAGGTGAGACCAGTGTATTTTATTGTTTACTGACGCATCTTTAGTACGTAGCTAGTGCCTGGTCCGTGGTAGGTATCTAGTAAATACTTATTGCCTAACTACTCAAGTCTCCAAATAAAAGAGAACATCAAAAAGTGAAGATTTTTATTTTACATTGCATGTGGTTCCTTTGGTCTCAGGCACTTTTGGTCTCACTTTCTCTTTGTCTTGACAAACACTGTCCAAATTTTTCAGCCAACCCAAAGCTGGATGGCACGGTGCCTTGAGTTGGCAATTAACCAAAGGGAAGGCCCAATGATGAAAGAATACGCCACAGAAAAGGAAGCTCAGAACTCAAGTTTTGGCTAAGGCTGCCATTGTCAAGAATGATCTGAGGAAACCCAAGGGATTATGGCTGAAAGGACTCTAGTGGTATTGCTAAGACAAGTCCTTTCTGGCCCTACTCCTATGAAATACCAAATTCAAACACACTGGTGCTAATTCAAGTGCACTTTAATTTACTTTAGGGCACTTTGGTTTAGAGGCAAGTACAGGAAATCACCCAAACTACAAGCCACACATTACAATGGCAGGCTGCAAATGGTTCTGACCCAAACAACCCTAGCATGTAAGAGTTAGAGGAGCCCTTCAACATATCTATTCCAAACACCGTCCTCCAAAGTTGATACAGATTTTCTTAGCAACAGTCAAGATGAGAAATCACCCGGTCTTCACTTGAGCTCTTAGAGTGATGGTGAACTTCCCATCATTTAAGACAGCTCATTATCTTTCTAGAGAAATCTCTCTTAGACTTGGTAAACATAAGGTATATATGCTGACACTCTTGGCTATGCACTTGTGGCAGAAATCACCAATTAATCACAATGTTTTCTTTTCCCCCACCAAGCCTATGTTTAGCTTTAGAATCATTCTCAATATTGTTTTTCATTTGGATAGAGGTCAGTCCATGCCGCAGTTACTGGAAGTTAAGTCTTCCACACATTGCTCTTCTTCATGTTCTTTATGAGCACACGGGACTCTTAATAGTCTGGGGTGAGGACGGCGTCAGCCCTGAAGTCTTAAGCCCATTCCTGGAACACAGTTTGGGAAAGACAAAATCTGCAGGCTGGTGAGTTGGTATTAGGTTCTCCAAAGCCTGAGATTTAAGGCCAAATATTGGAAAATGCATTACTTAGGCACTATGAATAATCATTAATCGGGATGAAGCCTAGGGTCATTGAGGCACTGGGATTCAGGTTGAGGACAGGTCAAGGTTGCTTGTAGTAAAGCTGAAACTAGAACCTCAATCTATGGTTTCCAATCCATTGAGTCCACTATCAGGCCAAATTGTTTTTCTTTGATAAAGCATTCACATAGTATTTCCCCAATTTCATTTTGAAATCATGGGTTGAGTCATGATAAAGGCAGGTCATCAACCTACATGAAAGAACATTGGGTCTACTGAAACATAGAGTGATTCCTTGCAGCTTCCAGAAGAGTTTGGGAAATTCAGTTGTGAATAATGCTAACATAGTTGCAATGTTAGATTAGTACAGGTTTACTTGTAAATACTTAATAATATAAAAGACTTGCATAGCTTCAATTCATTTAAGCCTCCCAATAATGGTTAAAATTTTAGTTTCCTGAAAGGTGAGATCATCCATTTAGACAATCCTGTTTTTGACATAATTGTCCAGCGTGGAGGAGGAATCTTGTTCAGGCCTTCCGTTTGTCTTATCATCAATGACAGCTGAGTCAATTTTCTCTTCTGGTGGGTATGCTTTGTTCCTTTTGGAAAATGCCTGGCTGATTTCTGCATGCGTTCTGTTTTTGGTCTCAGGCAAGACAAAGTATAGGTAGGTAGCACCTGTGGTACAAATTGTAGCAAAGACTAGGAAACAGTATGTGTCCAGACTTTTCTGTGGAAAAGGCAGAGACAAAAACCATCAAATAGACAGTCAGTAAACTTGCTGTTAAACCATCTCTACACAGATTTTTAAAATAGCTTCATATTCATATACCAGCACTCCTAGACAAAACACCATGTGTGATGCTGGCTCTCTAAGGCAAGTGTGCTCTACATAGAGTGTTCTCATAAGAGGCTTGAATAAATCACCTTCAAACTCTGGTAGAATTGAGAAAATGGCACTTTTGTTGTTGTTGTTGTTGCAAATTTGGCATTTAAAAATTAATCATCATGAAAGCAAAATGGAATACTCACTGAATATTAGCTGAAGCTTATATTTACAATTAACCACATTGTCTCCTTGCTTCTGCCGTACATGTGAGGCAAGAATGACATCAAAAGGGAAGAGAAATGCCCCAGTTCATAAGAAGAATGTGGAGCATACACTAGGCCAAGGTAATGCCAGGTTTTCTGATATGCAAATGGTCTAACTCACTAATTGATACTCTGAGACAGCTTTGCACAAATAAGAGAGACAAGAAAAAATAGAAACATTTGCTGCAATCACTCTGTTTCATGTACCCTGATTAGTGCTTGGACTAGAATAACCCTGCCAACTGCACTAGACCTCAAGTTTTTCAGTGACTTCGTCACCTCTGCAGCTCTTGCGCCTTATAGGACGTCCTCAAGAAATGTTTTTGGAATAAAAGTCTTGAATTTCTAGCCTGAAGCAATCCTTCTGCCTTGGTCTCCCAGGCAGTGGGATTATAGGCGTGAGCCACCACTCCAAAAATAAAAGAGTTTCTGGGCGCCAGCTATCAGGATTGTGACTATTGTATGCAACAAACATCTATTGATCCAAAGATAAGGTGACACTGTCTTTGAATGATACTTTCCAAGAAGCAATATCCAGACTTTAGTCAATTCCATTCTATCGTTTGATTTGACACACGTTTATTTTCGGAGAATGGCAGAGTGCTTAAAACTTGATCTCTGGATCACACCCTAGATCTCCCATTTACTAAATCCGAGACTCTGTGCCTCCATTTTCGTGATTGAATGGTACATGTAGGGTTGTTGTATGAATTAAATGAGATATTTCCTTTAAAGTGCCACATGCAGTAAACGTACAGTACCTGGGGGTGCTTAGCTCTGAGACTCTGCCTTCTGCTAATACAAAGACATCAAGAGCAATGTGGAGAAGGCGGAGTGTATGGACTCTGCAGCCAGTCGAGTGGGATTCAAACCCTGATCCCATTACTCACATGCTGTTCTAACACTTAGGATGTGCCATTTAAGGCAGAACTTCAATCCACTGGGCAGCTGTTTCCTCATTTGCAACATGGTGATATATACCCACACACTGTTTTGAAGATGAAATGAGATACATCCAATTTTGTATTCAACATCCTCCACTCCCCCACCTGCATGCTGAATGGACATCTGACTTATCAAGTCCAAAGTGGAGCCTCTAAAACTGTGCCTGCTCTATCCTTCCTCGTCTCTGCTGATGGCACCTCCATCCTTCTGACTGATTAAGGAAACAAAAACACTTGGAGGCAGGCTGAGCTTCTCTCTCTCTCTCTTCCCCACCCTTCCTCTCTCTCTTCCACCCACAGCCGCTCCATCAGGAAATCATGTTGTTCTACCTTGAAATATAATCCAAATCTGAGGGTTTGTCACCACTTCTACTGCAGCCCAATTTTGATGCAATTCACCATCATGTTTTGCTTGGATTTTTGCAATAGCCTGTCAACTGATTTCCCAGCTTTTCATTTTAAGCATAATCTTAAGATTATCCTTAAGAGATGAGCCACAGTGATCCTGTTAAAGAACAAAACTTGTCACTCCTGTGCTCAAAACCCACCATGACTTTCTAAGTCACCTGGAGGAAAGCCAAGTCCTGACCATGGCCTCCAAGGCCGCCGACCCTGGGTCTCTTGTATTTCTCTGATCTCATTCTCCTCACTTTCTCTGCCCCAGCTCCACTGCCTTCATGATGTCCCTCCAGTACTGGCCTCAGAATCTTTGCACATGCCGTTCTCTCTTGCTGGAATAATCTTCTTTTAGGCTTCTGTATGTCCTGCTTTCTTACTCCTCTTCATCTGACTTAAAGGTCATTTTCTCAGAGAGGTTCTTTTTGACTCTCATTTCTAAATAGCCCCTCCCAGCCCCGCTTCCTTGCTTTTCAAAAACACCCACCACTATGCAGCATTGTGGTATGCAATTGCCTGTTTGTTAACTCTCTCCCTACCAAGAGATAGCTATTTGAGGGCAGGAGTCATCATTTTTCTTGTATTCCCAGAGCCTGTAAAGCGTCTGACATACAGTAGATGCTCTGAGTATCTTATTGAGTACACGGATGGACTGAGGCTCAGGGAGGCTTCCTGCCCTATCTCAGGCTACATGTGGGGCTGCCTAGGACCCGTCTGACACCCACACAGCTGCCTCTTGCTTGGCTTTCTTTTCCCAAGGGACTTGATAGGTGTTGAGAGAATTATTCTCACAGTTTCACAAAATTCAACCAAAAACATGTGGCTCAGCCCAGCGTGGTGGCTCACGCCGATAATCCCAGCACTTTGGGAGGCTGAGGCAGGTGGATCACTTGAGGTCAGAGGTCAAGACCAGCCTGGCCAACATGGTGAAACCCCATTTCTACTAAAAATACAAAAATTAGCTGGGCATGGTGGTGGGCACCTGTAATCCCAGCTACTTGGGATGCTGAGACAGGAGAATTATTTGGACCTGGGAGATGGAGGTTGCAGTGAGCTGAGACAGCACAGTACCACCACACTCCAGCCTGGGCCACAGAGCGAGACTGCACCTCAAGAAAAAACAAACAAACAAAAAGAACACGTGTCTGCTGCAACCATTTTGGGAAAGAACACTTGCTCCCTCCCTCAGGAGTGTCAGGAGCAAAGCCGTAAGATGGCCAGGGTGAGGCTTCACCTCCTGGGCACAGGATCTGCTGCCTTGGCCCACAGAGGAAAAGTTCTATTGGGTCCCCACTATGGTCTGACTGTGTCCCCTAAAATTCATGTGTTAGGACTTAAATCCCAATGTGATAGCGTTAAAAGGTAGGGGCTTGAGGCAGTTATTATGGATCTTATGAAAGGGCTGGGGGGAATGAGTCAGGCCCTTTTTGTCCTTCTTACATCTGAGGATGCAGCAACAAGATGCCATCTTGGAAGCAGAGAGCAGCCCTCACCAGACACTGAATCTGCCAGTGCTTGAGACTGCCCAGCCTCCAGAACTGTGAGAAAATCAACTCTGTGTTTATAAATTACCCAGTTTGTGGTATTTTGTGACAGAAGCACAAAAGGACTCAGAGAGGCCCCGCTCCTCGGAGGTTACTGCCCTTTTGTGGAGCCTGGAGCCTTCAGCAGGCACAGGTTATGATGGTTAATCTTGAGAGTCAACTTGATTGGATTGAAGGATGCAAAGGATCATTCCTGGGTGTGTCTGCAAGGGTGTTGCCAAAGGAATCAGTGGGCTAAGAGAGGCAGACCCACCTCAGTCAGCTGCCAGAACCATCTAATCAGCTGCCAGCACTGCTAGAATAAAAGGGCAGAGGAATGTGGAAGGACTTCTGGCTGAGTCTTCCAGGCTCCATCTTTCTCCTTTGCTGGATGCTTCCTGCCCTCAAACATCAGACTCCATGTTCTTCAGCGTTTGGACTCTTGAATCTACACCAGTGGTTTGCCAGGGACTCTCAGGCCTTTGGCCACAGACTGAGGCTGCACTGCTGGCGTCCCCACTTTTGAGGTTTTGGGACTCAGACTGGCTTCCGTGCTTCTCAGCTTGCAGGTAGCCTATTGTAGGACTTCACCTTGTGATCATGTGAGTCAATTCTTAGAAAACTGCCCTTCATATATGCATATATCCTATCAGTCTTGTCCCTCTACAGAACCCTAATACATGTGTTCACTGCCTCCCCTACCTTGCACACAAAATTAGAAGCCACAACCCTAATCCCTGGCTCTGCAGACAATGGCTCTTAATAAGGGGCCTTGGTAGGAAGGTGTCATGAGTCTGGCTTAAGGAGGGAGAGAAAGGAAGGAACTTAACAAAATGAAGATTTACTCTGCTCAGTTATGGAGCTGGATCTTCCATGTGCAGGCTTATTTGTTGCCTCTGAGAAACAGGTCTATTTGATTCCTTTTTACAGAATAGAAGATCAAATGGAGTGAGGTCATGCTACTTGCCCAGAGTTATGCCACTTGGAAGTGGCAGAGCTGGGAGTAAAACTCCCCTGAGCCGCATGGTCTCTTGTTGGAACAGGGCTTGGGCTGCGGAGAGGAGGACACGAGGCTAATGATAAAAGCAGGAACTGCTTGTGGATCACTGATGGTGCTGCCCGCTATTGACTCATTTAATGTTCACACTGACGCTAAGGTGTAGCTGCTATTATAGAGGAAGGCACTGAGAGGGCAAAGTTATTGCCTCAGTTTTTCTGAGCTGTGAGGCAAAGTGAAGTCTTATATCTGGCAATCTGACCCCAGAGCCTGTGTTTGTCATGTTGTGGTCACTATTGAGAAAGTAAGGACAAGAGAGAAAGTCAGGAGAGTCCCGGCCACAGAGTCAATGGGGGAAAAAGCTCCAAATCCTCAGTCTACTGAAATAAATGAGGTTTAAACAAAAAGTCAGGGCCAGAGCTGGACAAAGACTGATGGGATAATATGGATGGGAGGAGCAAATGGCTTTGGGGTTGTCCCCAAGCCTTCCTGGCTAGGATCTGGAATTTACCCAGGACATTTATTGGTATCTGCTAGAAATAATTTCATTCCAGGGATCACACGACAACCTGGTGTTACTGCAAGTGTGTGATTTACTTTAATCTGAGAAGAGGAATGCATCTTTAAGCACCTCTTATGTACCAGCAATATGACAGACATTATATCATTTGATGCCTATAGTCCACACTGCAATAGCACTATTTATATGTTCATTTTAAAAAAGATGAGGTTGAGTATTAGAGAGGTTCTGGAACACATCTAAGGCAAGTGAGGAAAA